TATTATAATAAAGGCTTTATGTTGATATTGCAAAATACCTAAAGTCCAAACTTTAGGATTAAAACAGCTGAATAAAGATCTGACAAGACTTTTTGTCAGATTTTTTTTGCCAGAGAAATAAAGTGAGATGCTTTCAAAGAAACTATTTTTATCCAGAATAAGAATAAAATATAAGTGATWAAGKTMCTGTATGTGGATCTATATCTAATACAACTATTTTGAATAAATCCAGCAGCTCCAGGAGTAAAAAAAGCACTCAGAAATGAAATATGTTCAACACATTTATTAGAGCAAATGTATCAAATTAGTAGTTTCAGTTTAACACCAACAAAACTTCTTCACAGTATACACGTTTAAAACAATGACTAATGAGGAACTGTGGGCTAACCTCACAAGATTTGGCAAACTGATGCTCAGACAACAGCTTCCAGGAGAATTTACAAAAGGAACGGTCCAGATAAGTGGCCCGTCTGCGTTATCCAAACTGAGAAAACAAACGAACAGATGGCTCAGTGTCCCACATCAACCTGTCCAAAGTCTRAAACCAGTCCATCTGGGTCAGTTCAGTGTGTCATCAGGACCCTGACAGGCTCTCAGAGCTCTCAGGACCACCACACTGAACATTTTTCTTCATCTAATTGAAATGTGGAAAAACAAAAACGACAAAAATCTAAATGAATGATGATGATTTGTCTAAATGAATGTAATCTAGTCACACTCTACCACAGAGCACTGAGAGAAACTATAAACACACAAATCAAAAGAATCAAAAGCTAACATGAGTCTTTAACATGAGCCTAATGTTTTAACTTATGGCACTAAATAACAGTAATATGAACATCTTCATGAAGCCCTCAGCTCTCCCCAGGCAACACTGCCCTCTAGAGGCCAAGCACGACCACTGCAGAGTCAGCAGGTCTCAGCCAATAAGAGACGAGAGCTCCTCTACCACACTTCTGTTCAGCCCCATCATTTTCAAAAATTGTTCAAAAGTTTCAACGTAAGACCACAGAAAAGTTAGTTTAAAAAATGAAGACAAAGTGAAAAGCACCAGATGCAAAGCAAATTGTGTCTTTTCTTTTATTTTCCTTTACTTGAATGCCTTTTACTTCTTTTCCTTCTTCTTGTCCTAAAAAACAAAAACAAACAAAAAGACATCAGTTTCAGGACATAACTTTATTTTATTCAGAAAAAAAGCTCCTCCTCTTGTTGAATGACTGAATCCAGAAAATACATCTTGAAAGGTGGCGTTGCAGTACTTGAAACCGGTCTTGGTCTTAAGACCGGTCTCAAGACCAGTTTTTGATGGTCTTGGTCTTGTCTAGGACTCGACAGCATTTGTACTCAGTCTTGTCTTGGTCTCGGACACTGAGGACTCAGAATTTTATTTCAAGACCAGTTAAGACCACAACTGTGGAAATATCACTAAATTGCCAGAATGTTGTCCAATTTATTTGTTAACAATCTTGCTTGTATTGGATTTAAAATGTAGCTACTGATTCAAATTCAAACCTGAATTATTGTTATTTATGTGTTTTTGTTACCAGCTGTCACCCATCCGCACCCCCCGTCACTTGCACACATCACTCCCAGAAAGTGAACCTGGTTCTCTGGGAGTGGTAAAAGATGTCTCCAAAATTTTAAGTAAAAAAATTTGGCTACATTATTCATAAATAATAAAAACAACAACAACCAGGAGAAAGCATACAGCAACTTGTAAATTCGGCAGTGCTTCACTTTCAGAGACAATGTAGACAACTTTAAACTTTTATCATCACTAATGTTAACAATCTGCCTCTGCAGCAAAATTATTTCATCTGCCCTCACACAAAGCTTTTGTCAATATTAGCTCTACATATT